AGGTACATACATTATAAAAATACATGGGTATTTTAAAGGTATGATTTTTTAAATATTAATATTTATTAATATTTTACGATTTAATGATTTTAAAATATTAATTAGACTATTAAAATAATTAATAATAAATAACCTAATTATCTACATAAAAGTTGTGACAAATGTTTATGGTCGCTAAAAAAATATCACGATTCAAAAGTGTTGTAAACATTTAAAAAAGGCCAACAAATTACAGAAGTAATTTTATTTTACTCAATAAAAAAAAATAAAAGATTAATTTTTTTTAAATTATATTTTAAAATAAATGAATTATTTTAAGATTTATAAGTCACAAATAAACAAGAAAGGAACTATTTCGTAATAATTACAGCTTTTTATTGATGATATAGTATATAGTTTATTTTTTTTACCTGTTGTACCGATATATTTATATTTTATAAAAATCTTAAGTATAGAGACAGCTTTCAAGAATTGGAAACTTCTGATTTTGTTATATTTCGTTATATTATTATTTATTAATCAATGGCTCAATTCAATTCAACGATTCTTAAGAATGAATAAATCCATTATATTAATGTAATGTACCGAAAACTAAATTAAATAAAGAAAAATATATGTATAAATAGAAACTTTTTGCTAAAACTGTCTACTATCTCAGCTTATGTAACTAAACAAAATAATAAAGTTTTTGTATTTTAACTTTTAAATATAGGTATGGTTATTAACTTATACATTTTAATACTTATTCATAATAAGTCATATAATTATTAACAAACCTATAATATCATATATTATCAAACATTTTTAAAAGATTTAAAAAAAAACTTTGAACATAATGTAAGTATTTATGAACTTAGGACTAGCCCATAAAAATGCCATTATATTTCTACATTGGTGGGAGAGGGGCTGTGAAGCTGTAACATCTCACATTTTCGTCACCCAGGTTCTGCGGAGTTTTGTACAACGACAGTATAAATAAATAGAATCGCCATTCGACAACCAGAGACTGAAGTCAGCGTTCTCTAGATTTTATTTAGTCCCACATTGTATAGGATGATCAATAAAACAATAATAATAAATAGAGCTGAGATTTTGATACAAAGGCATTTTTTTTTCTGGTGTTTTGAAATGTTGGTTCATACGTATAAAATGTGTTTCGGATGATACTGATTATTTTAAAGTAATTTTGTTTTGTATCTTTTAACATTTTTGGACTAAATCAACCTAAAATACATTTATAGGGTATTTTTTGACAATTTTAATGAATTTTCTCAGTTTTTAAAACTATTTTCTCGAAATGAATAAAAATTGTTGCGATTAATAAGAAACTTTCGACAAACTGCCGATGCTATGAATAATAAATTATAATACACGACTATTAGTTATTGTTGATAATAAATATTTTATCATAGATAGTCCTTTCCGTTTACGATTAAGAAAAAAACAGAAAATCATTTAACTAAATAAGTAATAACGTACCTACAATACTATTAAAATATATATATATATATATATATATATACTACTGTAGTAGTATTATTTTAAATTTTTTTTTTAAATTTTTAAGCTATAATGAATAAATTAAAATGCATTTTTTGAGTTTTTTAATTCATATTTGCATTTTTGACATTTTTTAAGACATTAAAATTCCACCCCTAATAATAATAAAACATATTATGTTACGGTAATTGAAGTATATTGTTTTGAATGTTATGATACCTAATTGAAATATATTGTTATGAATGTTATGATAACTAATTGAAAATCAAGATTATGTGAAAAAATGCCTCACGATATAATTGATATACGTATACACTATACATATTATCTAAATATTTGGAAATGACATTATGACGTTTGTTTTTTCAAACAACATGGAAATAAAATCAATAATAAAGTGATAATGTAGTCGAATGTATTGAGCCGTACCACGGTCTAAAAACAAAATGTACTCAATTTAATATTTTTAAACCCAAAATTCTAAGGACCGTCTCTTGCGGCTGCGACACACACACACTCGATCATAAAAAAAAGCTTAATGCGAAAGAGCATATTAATAATATAATAGAATACCGGCCGTTGTGAAAAATAGACATAATATATATTAAATAGGTATATAAATAATTATGACTGATAGGTAGATACTTATATACTTCTACGCTCCATCTCCCATAATCGAGAAGCATCACATGTGTTGAAAAGTATTCAAGGAGAAATATTTTAAATTAAATAAAACAATTACCCGGAGTTGGCAATTCCACAGGTGTCGTACAACGGAGTCGAAAGAATACGTTCGTCACAAAACGATCGGATCGAACGAAAAAAAATTAATTATATTAATTGGCCGATATTCTATTTACATATTAGTATTTGTATAATCAAGTGCGTCGAACATTGCACGTCGACGGCGTGGCGAAGAGAGGGTGCCCAGGCAGTGCAACGGTGCTATCATCATGACACCGACCAGAAGAGGCTAATATTAGGTATATAAATATATAATAGATACCTATTATAGGTATCTATATTATCAGCAATATCGTTCCATGGATTATTTCGGCAGGTACACGGCGTAATTTCAAACGATAATTACAAAGCCCCAATGTAAAGTCTAAAACCTATAGGATTATGCAGATTTAATTAGGTTACCAAATAAAATTATACTGTCACTAGTTTAAAAATTGATATTTTATTACCTACCTATTCCAAAAAAATGTTCTCTGAATTTGCAAGTCTGAAAATCTTTATTCTAACGATAAAAAAAAACAAAGTTACATACATCATTTTAAGTTTTATTATATATTATAAATAATCAATCTATATATCTATAAGGTTCATTGTATCATCATTTTATTACCTAATTTATTTCTTTTTTCTATCTTTTTAATTTTAGATAATTGTTTCTTCCACTCAAATTAATTAAAAATAACTAATTTTTAAAATATTTATGTGTTTGAAACATACAAATGTATTGAATTCACAGTACCTATAGAGTATAAAATTAAATTATAATGTGGTCAATAATATAATGTAAGTAGGTGGTCATAGAAAAGTAGGTAATTATCTTACACAACTAGGTATTGTTTAAATCTTATTATGAACTTTTCCCAAAGTCAATCATATATTTATGGTAAATTAAGAATATTAATAAAATATATTTGTTTATTATAATTTAATTTACCATTTAAATTATACCTAAGCTTAAAAAATAATTTTATGCTATTGGAATCATAATTATTCAAGATTAAACTTATAAATGTTTCTGTCATTGCAATGATCCAACAAATGTTTAATCAATTTACTTACAGAGTGTTATAACTAGAGCACGAATTAATGCACTAAAAAGTATTTAAATATGACATATAGTGTACAGTAAACGTCGTGAAAGTATTAACAAGTATGCAAGAAAATTATTTTTATTTATATAAAATTCACATATTAAACAACTTACATTAAATATGCAGAAATACAGGAAAAAATTCACCATTCGCTTCAAATTATTATGATTCGTGAAGATAACTGACAAAATACAAAAAAAAATATTTGATTGCATAGAAATCCCTGCTCTTATTATAATATAAATGTATATTATATAAATCTTATAAATAGTAGAGATTGAAAATCAATTTAATAAATAATAATAAATTTTATGATAGGTAAACCTAATTAACTGCAATATTAAATTTAATATTTAGTATTTCGACAGTCTTATAAAAAATACATATTCGAATACTTAAAAAAAAATATATTTAGAATACATATTTAAATATTTAAAAAAGTAGATATTCAAATACTATGAAAATATTTTTTTTCTACTAGTTTTTGTTAGTTTTGGACAATTATAGATAATATTTAATATGAACATAATAATTAATAATACATCAATAGGTATAATATATTTACAAATGGTTAATGCATTATATTTCGTTAATGAATAAAACTAATGTTCATGATATATAATTATTAATTTGCCTAATTAACAATAAAAAAAAAAATGTTTTGTTACAAATTAAGAAACAATTTTTCTGCTTCAGAAAAATAATATTTTTTAATGAATAAAATAATACAAATTTAAGTATTTAAAGTACATATTCAAATAAAATAAAAAATATTCAAATAGTTTTATTTAAAGACATTTATTCAAATAATTTAGAAGACTGGCAATGTGCATGACTAAAAGAAAAAATAAGCAAAAGTCATAAACATCCTAAGCCTATTTATAACAATATTGGTGTATTCGAAAATTCAAACATCATACCATGTACAGTAAAATATAATTTAAGTCATACAGTATACATTCATAATATTAATTTGTGTTTATAAAAATATCTTAAAACAAAAAAAAATATTGCTTTTAGCTTGATAATAAAATTCTTTACTCATATTTTAGTTTTAAACGTAAAATATTATTAGGTGTCAAAGCCCAAAGGTAAATCAAAACAATTATGATTTATAGATCCTACTAAAGTGGTGTATACCTACAACACAACTTATTTTCTATTAAATTACCGTATAATTTATAGCTTATAAGTGTTTAATAATTGAATACTTCAGACTCCATAAAAAAATAAAAATAAAAATATATAATAAATAAAATATTATAATAATTAATATTAGATAAAAATTGTAATAAATTGCTATTTTCAGTTCATTATGTGTACATAAAAAATATATTTTTACATTTGGTTTTTTAAATATGGTTAAATATTTGTACAATATAATTATATTTACAAGTTATTTAAATAAAATAATGTATGTGATTAGTATCAAAACTAATGGTTAGTATGAACTTAAAGTACTTATTAAAAAAGGTGACAAATGTTTCATTAAATAAATAAATAGTGTATACATTGAAGATTAATAATGTATATTTAATACTTATAATTAATAGTAAGACTTTATAATACTGGCATTGATCTTAATAAAAATAAAAAAATGACACAAAAACATAAACTTTTATGTTATTAAAAATTAATTTATAACATTAACATAACATATTTATACATAAAATAAACATTTATAAGGTACCTAATAAATAAATTTTCTGAATTTTGTGATATGTTAATTTGTAACAAAACTTTCATTAAAATTATTGTCGCTAATACTATTAGTTGCTAAAGTTTCTCTAAACTCATAAGACCAAAACCCATTGAAATCGACCAAAATATTCACTATTATATGACCCATTTTACTGCGTATGATATCTTTTAAAGTTATTTTTGATGGATCTTCTGGCTTGATCATATCAAAAATTTCGTCTTTTATATCTTCCATTGAAACCATTTGTTGTTGCTCTTTTGGTAATCTATCGGCAACAGCCTGAAATAAAATATGATTAGTACAAAAATAAAACTCTATGACTTAACACAATTGAACATTAATGGCATTAATACTGTATGAATGATTTTTTGTGTACATAATTGTAAAAATTACATTAAATTATCATTAGTAAGATTTAAATATGTAGTATAGAGGCTATTTAAATAAAATTTTGGCATAGATATTTTTAAAATATACTTAAAAATAATTTTCTTTTTCTTAAAATATTGTAAAAAGGGAGAACAAATAGAAACAACTTATATAATTTATGTTGATGATAAGGTAAGTTATTACAATTATCTAAGTTAATGGTACCCCATCATAGAAATAGTTAAATTATTTAACCCATAATTAATTTATACTAAAATTTTCAATAATAAATGAAATTGTACAAATAAATTTAAATACTAAGAAAAACTATTACAGTAAATAATTAATAACTTTTGTTGTTGAATCTTTAGACAAAAAAAATATATCTATTGTCTTCAATTTTTGTAGTTTACTTAATTAAAATGGTTTTTAAATTAAAAAAAAGAAAATTTAAATATATTTATTACAGAGTATATCAAAGTAATCTTGAATTACTACTACATGTTTAGAGTTTTAACAATAGTAAGCTTAAAATTTGTATGTATTAAATAAGTAAAAAGACGTTAAAATATTTTTGATAAATTAAATGTCAACTATCATAATATTAATACATTATCAAGTACAATTAGTTTTAATTTATGTATTTATTTTTTCACTGTTATTACTAACAATTTCATACCATACCACAAAATAAAAAATGTAAATTAGTCCATAAACTAATATTAGAAATTATGAGAAATATTCTTCTTAAGTTAATTAAAAAATTTAAATCACATTTGAAATTAGTTAAAAATCAATATAGTTATTATTATAAACAAACCCTAAAGCAAATTAAATTAAATGTGAATTTTAATACTTAAATAAGTCAAATGTAAAAAAAATACAGACACAACAATTTGTACATCACTTAAATATAAATAAAAAAATTACCCTTGAAAAATAGTTAATAGTAAAAGAATCTAAATATCCTTGATTTTTTATATCTAAAAATCTGAACAAATATCGTAAAGATTGAGGTTCATGACGATTTTCTGTAGCTAAAACAAAGTTCAAATAACCTTTGTAATCCATTTCACCATTATATGTAAATGCATCTTGGAATACTCTATCTAAAAAAACTGATGTGAGAGCACCTGATTTATACCTGTAATAAACAAATTTCCAATTAATACTAATTCTGTATTATTTAGGTTTATATTTTAATAGTGTATAAAAACAATAAATTAATAAGCTTATAAGTTATTAACAAATTATATCAATCATTCAATTTTTTTTTTTCATGTAATTTTAAATATATGGGAAGTTCAAACATTTTGCTGGAGATTTGTAGTTTTATGAAAAAATACATACAGTTAAAGACTTGAGATATTATATTTTGATATTGAATTAGGTTACATTAATGTATGTTCAAATATTATAAAAAGCTTCAAAAAGATATTGTTTATAGATGTTTATACTATTACTTATAAATAATTTAAAACTACTGTTGTAACATTATTATAATTAGAGCACAAATCAATATGTAAATACATTTTTTCACCATAACTTAATTAATTAATGAAGTTAAGTGATCATTTTTTTTCAAGTGATTTTCAATTTAATCAGCTTTAATTTTATATACCTCATTACATTTTTATATTTTTACATATTTCATGATAATTTTTTCACACATTTTGATATTTAAGACTAATGGAATATTAGATATTTTATTGAAGCATTAGAAAAAAAGTTAGCTATGGATATTCAAAAGGTTGATATATGATGAGTTATAGTGTATGTCAGTGGTTTAATCAGTGTTTGTTAGTTGAGATATACAAAATTAATTAATATGTTAATGTAAACTCCTCATAAGATCTTTAATTAGAACTAAAGAATGAATGTACATAAAATATTTTAAATTTTTAAACACATATCATTATATTTTATATTATAACACATGTAAAAAAATTCAAGCTCTAATAATAATTATACAACATATTTCTGTCATAAATAATGCTAGTGATAGCAAATCTAGTGTTGTCCTTTTATATTTCATAGTTTCAGAATCATTATGAGGTAATTAGCATATATTATAGCCTATGTTGCTTAATTGATTACAAATAAATATTTGTTTATATAATAATAATAAATTAAATAATAAATACTAAGTTTAAGTAGGAATGTTAGCAAATAAAATAAAATGTAACTAATAATGTTATTAACAGCTTTCAAATTATCATTATTTACTAAAAATTATGTTTAACATTAACAACAATAAATATAACCAATATCAATTATATACAATTTATGTTCATATTATAAAAAATAATTGTCTATACCCTGTTATTTCTTGGCGACTTAATAATCCATTATGATCTTTATCTAATTCTAAATATGATGAATAAATATGAAGAGCAGATGGAACAGAAAACCAATTTTTTTTCTGTGATTCTTTACTCCAATTTTCTTCTCTAAGCTAAAAAAAAGAAATCCAGTTATACTATTTTATTAAGTTCAAATTACCCAATATCTGTTTACTATTTTATATATTCATAATAAACATGGATAATTTTAAAACATAGGTTCTTAATTGGTTGTCTAGGCGGTGGTTCAATTTTTTTTTTTATATTCTTAAGATAAATATTTTTTTAAATAATTTAATTTACTTAAGAATCCTGGAAAAAAGGTGTAAGTAAAAATGTATTATTAAAATTTTCCTTTTAATACATTTTTAAGTGGTACATGTATATATTTTTAAATTTAAATTCAACATATTTAAAAACAGAAACATAGATACACAAATTCTTTTTGGGGTGGAAATTATTACTATTAATGATTCATACTTCATATAATTATATGAAGTATATACTATTAATCTAATAAATCAGACAATATAATTTAGTTGAATTTTGGTGTATATTGACAACCACAAGCTGTATTCAAGGCAAGTAAAACTTTTGTTCCATTAGCAAATAGACATCTCTAAAAATTTTAATTTTCTAAATTGGTCACAATTAAAACTAAACTATATCAGAATAATAAAGAATAATAAGAGAATTAGAATCTTCTCTTAAAAAAAAAAAAAAAAAAAATAACTAAAAATACGTCTTTTTTTAAAAACAAAAGGAGTTTTAAAGTTTTAAATATTATTCTTAAAATCTGATTGATGTTAATGTTCTAGAACAAGTTAAAAACAAGTTTTAATATATTTATACCTCCAATAACTCATCGAGAAAACCACAAGATAAGATATCAATGATTCTTATTTTTCCAGTTCGCAAAGGATCTAAGTAGAAAAAAAATTTTCTTACAACCATGCATGAATAAAACGAATAAAACATTTTTTCTAATTTCTTCAATTGTGTTAATGTAGGTATAAGATCTAAAATATAAGCTTCAAAATCCTAAAAAAAAATATATCAAATTAATTAAATTAAATTATGCTAAAAATAGAGAATTTAATTATAAATTAGGTAATAAAACTGAAAATTATATAATACTACCATTTAAATATAATACCTTTAAATTGGTTGTATAAATATTATATAGCATTACAAGCAATTTATACTTAGCATAATAATAAAACTTAAATTAAAAGCTATTACCGCTTCACTCAGATAACCACAACCACTTGAATCATATTGAGAAAGTCCATTTCTAGTTTGGTCTATCCATATTTTTTTCATTATATAGTTAAAAAATGTATCTATAGATAAAAAACCTTTGATTTTACTGTCTTGTAATTGTAAAAATATACTAGGATTAAAAAACGATCTGAAATATAATACAAAAATATTTTATTACTTTTAGTTTAATATAACATTAAATCATCTAAATAAAGAAGAAAATAAAAAAACTTAAATGATACATTGATGGTATTATAATTACTTGTATTTATCACTTAATTTTTGTTTGACTTGAATAAAACTTTTATAATTGATGTACTGGTTATGAATAAAATTATTCAATGGTGTATGATGCTCTTGAAGCAATGTCCACATATACTAAAACAAATTCAATTAATTATTTAAGAAATTATGTACGGAATTGCATGAATAATTAAAAATTAGGTTTAATAATAATATTAAATTAAACAATTTTTCATGACTCAAAAATTTAATATCATAACAAAAAAAAAAAATGTAGTTAAATGTGTTATATAAATATACGAGTATATATACATATATAATAAAAGTTTTTTATTTATAGTTGTCCTTATATTCTCTAATATTAAAAAGGTATTAATCATTTTGATAAAAAAAACTTTTGAAAATCATGATTTAGGTTTAATTATAATACTATTAAAATCAAATAAAACAATTAGTTTTTTAGTTTTTATATTTAATGGAGTAAAAGGTAAAATTGGCTAAGCGCTAATTTTATGGACAAAGTGATATTATACACATTACATGATCATCAAATTTTATAATTTTGATAGTTGAAATAATTAAAACTTATTTATTTTCCTTCAATTTTTGTATAGATACTTGCCAAATAAACATTTTTTATAAAAAAATATGAAAAATTTATATATTTAATAATATAAAGTAATATTTTTACTTTTAACTCTTCACTAGTTAATAGTCTTGACAGCTCTCTCTCGAAAAAACGACCTCGTGCTTCAGCTCTTAGTTGAGCTTTGAAAATATTTACTTCTTCAGTAACTTGCTAAAAGTATACAATATTATTAATTTAAAAATACAAAACAATCTAATATTTAAAGATTTATAAAAATATATTTTATAACAATAATACAAAAACTAAATTATACTTACAGGTATATAAAAAGTTGGTAAATCATTACCAGATAACTTCTTAAGTATTTTAACTCCTGTGTCATCTTGCTGCATGACTTCTTTAAAATATTTTTCTTCACTTTTAATTTTAACTGTAGATGTAACTATCAACATAACATGCACATTAATATACACATAAATTTACTAAAATACATGCTACAAACTTTATGATATTATCTACATATATAAACATCAAATACATTTTAAATAGGTGATCAATATAGTTAAACATACTTGCCAAATTTTTCAAACCTTCCTTCATACAATTTTCATAATTGAAATCCATTGTTAATTTATCCATTAAATAATAAATAATAATATATTCAAAATCCAAAATAAAACATATTAAAAGATTTATTATCCATTTATACTGAAACAACACAATAAATTTCAACATGTAATATACTATTGAATTATATTAATAAATAATATTTATATTGTAAAAAATAATACTATAACTATTATAATATATGTACAACACATTATATTTTGTTAATAATATTCCACATATGTCTTTGGTAAAATATAAACTATATATATATAAAAAAAAAAAAAAAAAAATCAACAAATTATGATTATCTTAACTCTATGTCAACTATGGATACACATTTATATAAAGAGAAATTCTCATTTTAGTACTTTATTGATTAGTAAAAAAAATAATTGTCTACAATAAAATAAATTTAGGTAATTAGATATTCTTAAGTTTTTAATAATTTAACACTTTCAATAATTGTATTTACATTCTTTATGCTTAGATAGTGATCAAACAATAGAAATGAATAAGTTACAGTCAGATGATTTATATACTATTGTGAACATTCAATATGGAATTGGGTTTGAGCTCATTGAAGGACAAATTGAAATTGAGATAACTGTTTTCAATGAAACTAAAAAATCTAAAACTATGTCAGCATGCAGAAACCGAATAAACTTTTATGAAGAGTTCATATGGAAAATTGACAAAACTACACTAAAATATAGTCGATCAACAAATGCAATTGTTAAGGTTGAATGTTTTAGAACACCAGAAAAAATATGTTTTGGAAATATATATAGGAGACAAAGAATCGGACATGTAATAATTAAACTTAAAGAATTTCAAATAATAGGACGTAACTGGGATCAAAGTATATCTGTTAGAGGTTATAAACTTCTTGGTACTAGTAGGTACATTGAACTTGTAATTGTTTTAATCATACAAGAAGATATAGAATTTGAGAATCACACAGACTTTAAAAAATGCTCAAAATTCAATAACAAGGAAATTAATTCCAAAAAACGATCGTTAGAACTCAATAAATGCGGTAATTACAATTTTATAATAAAATAAAATATTAAAAAAGTGAGGTGGATAAATTAATATTATTTATGTATTTTCTCATTTACATAATTGACATTACATTGTACATAGTTCAAAGGCATTTTTTTTTTAAATAAAAATAAATAAAATATCAAACATTTAAATTAATTTATAAAAAAATCATGATAAATTTAATATATATTTATACTTAGTGAATATGTAATAAATAAAAATATTTAGTCCTATTAAAGCACCTAGATAACTAAATATTTTTTAATTTCAATAAATAAAAATTTCAAAATATCTAATAAAGGCAATAAAATATTTAATTTCTATTTGTTGTAATTCAAATAAGCTGTATTTTTTGAGTATACATAATATTAAACTTATTTTATGATATAGACATACATAAACTGACTTTTTGTTGATTAACTATTGCACATTTATTTGATAAATACATTTTAAAAATTGAATTATTATATCTTCAAAACTCCTTCTTATTCAGCATTAAGTTTTTATAATATGACACAGAACATTATAAGATTAATTCCATGATTTTTTTTTAAATATTTTAAATTTTAAATTTGGCCAAATACATTTAATTATCTGGATAAAGTTTTCAAGTAATTTATTATTATATTTTTATATTCTATAATTTTTAAATATAAATATAATACCCATTCATCAAATTTAATAGGAGTACTAGCAATGAAATATATTATGAATAACATTATTTACAAAAACGTAGGACATATTATATTCACATAAAACACTTCATACAAATTGTAAGGGAACATACAATACAAATATCAATGTTTTATTTATACATAATATAAATATTTGATTTTATTATTATCTAAGAAATTTAAATTTAAGTCAGAAGAATTTTTTTTTTTTAATTAATAAAAGTAAAAGTTGTTTTATTGATAATTAACTTTATTGTTAACTTATATATTACTATGGTAAAAGTAAATACAAATACAGGTATAACCTAGAATTCTCAAACTTTACTGTTGGAAGATGACTAAATATTGGATTTTTAGCTACTGATCTTAGATAATTTTAGAATTTCCCAAAATAATTTGTTCAGATTAGAAATTATTATTGAATATTGGTTTTTTCTTCTTTATACATTTGACAATAGAATAGTAAAGAAAAAACATTTACAGTATAAACTCAATTATGAAAATGATTTTAAACAAAATCCAAACATCATGTGAAATAAAAAAAGAATATTATTATATTATAATTTATAAAAATAAAATAAGTGTATTATGTTTAATAATTATTATAAAAAAGGTAATAGCCAATCGGTTTTATTAATGTATAATCAACTAAATATTTAAAAAAATCATTTTCAGAACTAAGATTTACCTGACATTATTCTTCTTTCATGGTCTAATTCAGTTAAGTTTTCATTGAGCGCTTCACATTTTATAATAGAATAATAATTGTCTTAGATATTTCTATTAAGATACATAATATTTTATATTTAAAACACAAAAAAAAATAATAAAGATATATTAGAGTATTGTTATTACAAAATGTATTTATCAGTGCATGCTTGATTATCGTTATATCAAAGATTGCATTAAAAAATTTAAAAAATGTATGATATAGTTAGATATCAAGGTAAGGAAGTAATTACATTTTTAAATTATCAGAAAGTTTTAAGTTTATATTTCATAAACCAATTGGTATTAGCAATAGTTTATAAATTCTTGGTTTCACTAGTATTGTACTTTTACCATAACTTATCTAGGTATAGCAAATAATAATAATTATAATTATATTTACTTATAGAACTAAACAACAAATATAGTAATGCAATAACTCAGGAAAAAGATAAGAGTCAATTTAGCAATGTAATCAACAAACAAGAATCACAATTTCATGAAACCCTTAATAAATGTGAAGAACTATTAAACTGTTTAAACACTGATAACAAACATGAACAATTTTGTAAAAAAGAAATGCATAATATAAATGAACTAAACACTGTAAAAAAAAAAGTTGAACAATCAATTAAAGAAAGCAAAGATTCTTTGAAATTTAATGATTACAATGAATATAAACTTAGTGAATTATTAGCAACTTGTTTAAAACACACAGATGAATGGTTAAAAGTAATGCAAACAATTAAAAAAGATATTGACATAAACAATCTACACAAATGCTCTAGTAATTCATTTTGCAATTCAAGTATTCAATCAGAAAATGATTTTGAACAACCAACTATCATAGTAAAGGAAATTAAAAAAAAACTTAATGAATTAACAGAATATATAGTTAATATAAATAATAAGGTTAAGAATAATAAATCTAAACGTTTGCGAGAAATATCAACACTAAAGAATACAAATTGTATGTTGACCAAATTATGTGACAAAATCGCAAAGAAAATAAGTGATGACAAATGAATTTATTTAATTAATACATTATGTATACATTTATCAAAATAATTATGTTTGACAAAAATCCACATTAAAACATAATTGCAATGATCCAATATTGGATTTATTAATTTATATTGTTCATAAAACACATTATTAATATTTTGTATTTAAAAATAAATCTAATATATATTTGTATAACATTGAATGGTTTTTATGAATTTTAATGGATATTTTTTGTAATTTAATATCTAAAAAAATAAGATTTATACTATATGCATAACCCTACATATTAGTATAATTTATCATTAGTGATAAAAATGTAACTCAGTAATTCAAAAGTTGAACTAATTATATTTAAACACAGACATTTATATTGACACATTTACTGCCTATGAATTATGATGCTTTAAGCATTGAACAAATTATGTAGAGATACTCGTCTTTATATTTTAATTTAGTAGAATATCACACACAAGGTGTTTAGCACCTCTAAATTTTAATTGGCTATATTATGTCATAAATATTTGAATACTTTTATTTCTAAGATATTGTTCATTTTTTAATAAAAATTAATACTTAGTTATGTTATGAAATTATATATTATTGATAACCGAAAAAAGCATTATTGTACAATAAGTCGATAACAATTATTTTAATATTTTTTCACTAGTGGTAAGTGAAGGCTGAAGTCTCACACGAGTCACTCTAATCGATATAAATCTAATACCCAAACATTAAATCCCATACATTTAACCCAAAATGCGCCTATGTTAAGAATGAAAAATATTCAACATTGTGAATCTTACCTCTGTGGTACAGTAATTTTGTAATCATTTGGGATTTTGTCCACATAATTATGTAATGTCAGTTTTTGGTGATCATAACAATATTTATAGTAAGATTATTATTTAAGATTATGAGTTATGACCTTATAATAGTTGTTACTTATTAGTTATTAGAAATCATATCATAAGTTTAAAAAATCAAAAAAAATTTAAATTTTGCTACCATTATCAGTTATCATTACTATCAACTTAACGTTATCAATAATTAATAGAATTGCATAACATTAATTTAAAAGAACAATCAGTTACAAATAAACAATAACAACTTTACTGTTCAAGTAAGTACTTTACTGTACATACTTTACTTGTAATAGGTGCCTAATGGTCGGTAAAACTCGGGACTGGTAAGGCCTAATCATAACGATTAACGACCACAACGATAATATCAAATCGTCGACATCGTCAACAAATGATGACATTATGGTTAACGCTAGTAACATCATGTCTATAACCATTTCACTAATATGAAACCTTGGTGCAGTATTGTTACTGACTAGTGAAGTGTGCGTTAGAAATTAAAAAAGAAAAGTGTTTTCTACAATGATAGATTGTTTATAAAACATATTTTTTTTTAATACGATAATAGCCAAAACATTTAAAGGACTTAAATAAATGATGTTATTATTATAATAACAATTGTCAAATTATTAACAATTACTATAATAGGTATGTTATTATATCGTTATTTGTCATAATTTGGTATAATTATTTAATATTTATCGTAATCATCATAATATTGTGACCATATGACACATCAGTGTTGTACAGCACGGGAACACAGAAACAAGTGAAACAAATGCATTACCTACGATTTTTTATAGCGCATAGAGAATGCCATCATTATTCATCGCTTAAATACTATAATTGTCTTATCAATTTTTTTTTTTTGTTTTCTTATGTATTTCTGCAATAACGATTAACCATGAGTATGTAATTATTTTCAAGAAACGGCGGGAACCAATCGTAACGATAGTTTTTTTTATTACTATAAATTAATATTGTTATCTATGATAACAATATTGACGACAATGCATCAGTCCGCTATTGCGCCGTATAACACAACAATATAGGTAACGACAATTTAAACGGCACATTGTCGAAAACGTCGTACGAGTGGAACACTTGTCGCGGCCCTCGATTGCGCGCAAACGTGACGGGTCACCGTTCATTTGCACTCCGGTTACTCACTTACAAACAGCCGCGCATCCTCCCCACTCGTCCGGCCCGGTCAATTCCGTAACCACCGCCACATCCGTCTCCACTAAACACATCACCACCACCTAACCAGCCTGCGCGCCAGACTCGTGAGTCGTGGTTTGTCCCGCCACATCCCCCGCCCGTTCCCGCCGTCAGAAGCATCGCAACAAGAGGTGCCGACGCCGACGCTGCATCCCCCTCGCTATTCGCTAACCGTAACATCGTCACTCGTTCGGTAGTCCGCCATATTTAGCGTGTTTTCGTTACTGAACCGTCCCGGTCAGCCGGCCGCTACCGCAACGACGACGGTCAAACGCGCCAATTTCGATTGCTCGTCACGGTCCCGCTCAATTAATCGTTAACCAACAACCCTGCGTGGCACTGTGCTCCTCGCTCGATGTCTGTTGAGATACGACCGACGTGCAGTGTCCGACGACGACGACGAAGACATGACGTAAGCAACGGACCCACACGCTCGACACATTGACGGGTGGTTACCGACAAACAGCTCAGCGATCGGGAACCGCGGATTTCGGGTGAGTACGCGTTATGGACATTCGCCGTTTACGTTTTACCGGTTTCGTTTACGACGCGTTTCGTCGTCACGCGTCCACGTTCCCGATCGTTACCACCCACGCTCGAAACTGGGTACTCTATGGTTGCTGCACTATAAACCCTTACTGTCGGTGAATAGTGCCCAGTGTCAGATTTGGAATAATTCGGTGTTCAACACCCACAACAATTGGATAAGTATGGGTGTGTGACACCATATTTAAATTTGCGACCATTCAAAAGTAGGCTGAACCTAGGCCTACTCGTTCTGATGACATGGAAATAGTTGTCAATCGCATCTGTTAGCAGACGTTCACTCGAAACCACAGATCTCTAAGAAATTCAGAAATCTATATCAAAAATAGGTATCCATAGAACAAATATCTTAAAAAAATATTGGGAAATGACAATATTGAAAGAATGTATATAAGAAAAAAATATCCTTGCCTGTATTATTATCAATAATACATACTGTTTTCAACTTTTAATAAAGGAATAAGTTTTATTCATTATGTACCGATTTACTACATATGCAATACCCCTGGCAATACTTATCCAGTATTTACTCTTAATGTCATTATGCATAATATGCCATAAAATAATTAAATACTCACCTCTATAGTAACCAGTTAGTAATAGTGATAATATGTGCTTAAAAATACTTACCATTGCTGTAGAATTTCAATGTCTTAGATATTTTTTTCTTGGATAATAAAATTGTTTTTGAGGATCTACTTATATTTTTGATTATCTGATGTAGATTCCTATAAATTACATATGCTCCAAGGTGCATATCCAATTTTTGTTGCTATGTGTTAACTTTAGATTGTGGCAATAACTAAGACTTATGAAGCCATTTTATCCACTTATGTTGTTTCTGTATAACTTAAATTCCTAGTCTGTTCTTTATATTTTAATTTTGAAACAAGTTGTGATCATTTTAAAATTTATATGGTATGCTAGTATAACATGATTTATCAATTAGTTCAATTATTTATTATCTAGGTACCTCATATCCTTTTTAGTGCTCCACTTAACATTAACTTTTTTAATCATAAATTTTTTGAATTAAGTACAGATAAGAAAATTTTTAAATTGCATAAATTAATAAAATAAGTTACATAAAATTGATATCTTTACATTTTCATATTATTTCAACTAAATTTATATACTAAACTTGTTAACAATAATACATAAATAGTTACCATTATTTATAAATAAACTAAGTACAAATATATTTAAAAAATACTTTGGAAAAAATTGAATAGTTATTTAGGTATAATAATTTAAGTATTATTGTTAATAAATATGTACTTACGAAATATTTAATGTCTACTATAGTTATTTCATTAGAGTTTACGATATATAACTATAGATAACACACAGACTGATGCAAAAATGATAGTGTATGATTGTATGATAATATGTGCAACTGTGAAATAAGCTTTAAGTACTTATAAAATACTTTATAATATTGATATTTTATTTTTTAGTTAGTTACTCTTCAAGAATCAAAATCAAAATGAATGAAGTTAATATGGCTAGTAATCAAGAAATAAATATGCAATCATGTACCATAAATGATTTATGCAGATTATGTGCAAATTTTGATGAAAATTTGATACCAATATATGCTGATGAAGGAGCAGATCATATGTTAGAAAACAAAATAAAAACTCATCTTCCATTTATAAATGTATTGTACACATTTTAATTATAATTTTATACCATACAAAATAAATTATTTTATTTGTAAAAATCCAAAAAATGTTGTGTTTGATATATATTGTATTTATAATTTATTTTTATATTTTACAGATTTCTGAAAATGATCTATTACCAAAAAGAGTATGTTATCATTGTGCTTCTGCTGTGCTTGTATGGAATGAGTTATATGAATGCAGTACTGATGCAGACCAAAAACTTAGAAGTATGTTTGAACCAATTCCATTTGACCAAAATCAGTGCAAGGTAATTTTATTTTGTAAATAATTTTGACAATAAATATTACTTATTACTTTTAGATCAAATACCTACACATGCCAGGCTTTATATACCTATCTAATTTTAAATTATTGTTAACAATTTTTATTTATTAATGTATCTAATTTATTTCTATTGAATTTATTTGTAACTGATATACTTTATATTAATTAAGTGCATTTTTAATTAATTATTTAGTAATCAATATCTGAAATGAGCTTTATATGGGGAATAGGAATTCTTCTCCATCATTTATATTAGAAATGTTGTGATCACTATCTTATGTCCTACTCTATACATTCATGTGTATGGTTGACTATTTTTATTTTAAATTATATACTTATAATTTTGTAGTGGATAAGATGAGAATAACCTAAATTATTTTTTATTGACTTATATAACCTCAGAATATATTAATAGGATAAGGTATATTTTGTGTTTTAACTTATTGTTTATGAAATTAGATTTTAACAGTTTTATAGTGATAATATCATTACAAAACTTAGCCATTTTTGTTATAACTTTGTTATTAATTGTACGTGTTTATTTTATCGTCATCTCTTAAATATTATATGAAAGTTCTCTTTGTTTTCTAAAGATAAAATGCTAAAAATTGTAGGTAAATATAAATTTAATTTTGCTAAATTATTAATTGTTAATATTAAACATTGGCATTTACTATGAATAGTTATCATAGTTAATTTAAAGTTGATAAAAAAAAAAAAGTATAGAATTATTTGTTAAATTTTAACTATATTTTATCCTAAGTCTGGGTAAAATATGATAGAAAATGTTAGTTCTAATTTTTTCAAAAAGCCCATGAGAATCCCAAAAAAGTAGTCAGCCATGTGCATGAGACACAAGATAATGATTGCAACTGTTCTAATAGTAGAATAGGAGAACCCCTATTCTTTTCGCGGAACTTAATTCAGGTACAGACACCTAAGTAATTTGTATCATGTGTTTATGAGTAAAATAAGAGATTTCTTACTATGTAAATCTATTCACTTATTATAATTAATTAGAAAATTCAGTGTTTATAAAAAAATTAAATATATAATTGTTTAGTTAATTGAGGCATGAATACAAATAAAACGTCTAAGAGTGATAGTTACTTGTTTGATTTAAACATATTTACAATGTTTAGTGTATACTATAGTTTATTGATAATTTTTTCCATGTATAATGTTTGTTTTTTTTTTTTAATGTAACAGGATATTCAAGAAGATGAAAGGCTACATCGATCACTTAAAAGGTAAGATTCTTCTTTATTTAATAAATATTTTGAATTTTATAGAAACGTTGATTATCTGATATAATTTAGGATTCCAAATATAACAATATTTAAGTTTTTAAACTATGAAATGTGTTTATTTATTTACACATTGATTAATTTTCTAGTCTGCACATAGGTTTGAAGAATCTGTGGTTTCTGTTGGTGTATAATTTTATAAAATCTTGATATCATACACAAATTATGCACAGTTATTAAAAAATATTTAAATTAATATATTATATCTGTATTATTCATTTTTTAAAAGTATTATTTTAATTATTTCACATAATGCATTATAATATGTTTATTTTTAAACTTTTTATACCTTTATATTTTAAATCTCTGTTAAATAATTAATTATTTTTAGTTAAGTAGATATCGCACTTGCATGTGTTGTTTCCTCTTTACAAATTTATAACAAAGCAAATCTGTGTCCAGTAGTTCCAATTTTGTGTAAGCTTTTGTAATTGGGTGAATTGACCTATTATCTATCTTAAAGGTAAGTATATTATCTGTTTTCTCATGGTTTTTTTCACTAATACTTACATTTTTAAGTAATTTATGAGCATAATATAAAATATTGTTTAAAAATTCTTATAACTTACTAAAAATTAAAATATAAAAAAAACCAGAGAAAATATTGATAATGTTCTTATCCTATTATATAAAAATAAGGTCAATACGCTCTTTTATTAACATTTATTGTACACTATTGGAGCTCCAGAACACAAATTTAGCATGCCTAACATTTTTAAAACAGAGACAATACATGCAGGTGTAATGTTCTCTTAGTCAACAAATACTTATGAAGATAATAATAATAATATTAATACTATTTTTCTTTATATTGTAATTGTTGCTATTTAGAACTCAGATATGAAAGTAATTATTTTTGAATATGTGAAGTGCATGTATTGGTAAATTAATTACCATACTGTATGTATATTGAAATATAAAAATATGCTATAAATCTTATTTTTTATGATGAAAAGTTAAAAAAAATTTCAGTATAATTTATATATATATATTATACAATAAATTGTTATTAACAGATATTTATAATGTAACTTATTTAACTAATATTATTACATTCAATGATATGCTTTTCTTTGCATAAAGAATACCATTAAAATTTAAAATTAAGCTTAAAAGTATTAAGTTTTATTCAGTCATAATTAAATAATGATAGCATTTAGCAACCTCCAAAAAAAAAAAAAATGTCATAAATTTACTAGTTAGATAATCAGCGGACTATAATTTAAATATAAATTTATGTTTTTAGATGCTTTTATTGAATAAGTTATATTATTTTGCTTATAATTTGTATATGAAATGTAAGGTAGTTGAAGCACAACTCTTGATCAATGATTTTATCATTTCATGATTAAAATGGTTGATCAATACTCTTAAGGTTCTAAAACATTGATTTTACATTTAAATTGATTAAAATTTTTCTTAATTTTAAGAAAGTATTAAATATAAATTACTTAAGTAATATACATATAAAGTTGGTTATAGATTCATTTTTTAAGTATACATTATGATTATCTAAACACAAATTTGATTTATAATTTATAATTATTAAAACTCATATCAATACATGGTTCTTTTGCTTTTTGTTTACAATATTTATAGTTTTAAAATACTTGAAATCTTATAATTTTATTATTTTTTTTTATGAGTAGATTAATTTAATCTAACTTTAAATTAAATTATTGAATGTCATAAAATGAATACACTAAAACAAATGTATAATAATAAATCTTTAAAATGTGTTTTATAAAGAATTTAGAGATAATACTTAATCCTGACAAATATTAAAAAACAAAACACATAATTATATCATCAACTTATATTAAATAATAATATAAAAACAAATAAAAATACCAGCTTATGTCTTATAACAATTATAGTTTTAGATTATTTTTTTAACTATAGTTTAGTGCTCAACTACTGGTCATGATAAGAAAGCAAAACAATTTCATTTGTTTACCAAATTGAACAGTAACATTTTATATTAAGTACTATTAAAGTTGAAATTAAACTAAAATTATCATGTTTACAAAACTATTTTTATTTAAATAAAAATTAATTTTTAAGTAACAAGTTAATTTTTAGTTGAACTTCTGATTACTTCATATTGGTTTATAATATTTAAATTTTTTTATTTTTATATTTGAAAAATGTAAATTTCATAGTTTATTTTCTAATATATAAATCATAAAAATATTGTTATACTATTTATTCATTCATTACAATTGATTGTAAATTTAAATGGTTGGTTTAACAATTTCTAATTATAACTATTAGTTTTGTTTTAATTTTCTATCTTATTCTGTTATTAGACTCAACTTATCTTATAATAATATTTTTTAGGAATATGAATTAATGAACTATACAATAATATCATACTTAAATAAATAAATATTTTATACCTAACCTTTTAAATAAATATATTATTAGTATAATAAACTTGCAGTTGATAGAATAATAATAAATATTGAAAAACATAAAAAAATAACAATATTATATTCATAAGATATATACTTTTTTTTTACTTGATTACTTGTTATTTTTGATGTTGTATCATCTTTTATTTGAAATAGATAAACAAATTAATTCTAATTTAAAGTATCTTAAAGTTCTTAATCACCAGTGCCTTGTTTTGTAGTGAATGTAATATATTATAATCAGTAATTGCCAACATTTTTTGCATTAAAATTTACTTAGCTTATGGCATTTAAATTTTATGAAACTTTTATTATTTAACAAACATTGTGATGATTAATTTTTACGTATTTAATTATTCATATTAAATTATTAATTATAAAAAATACTTATAAAATTTTATAAAGAACAATAATGGCTCTGATCTATAAAACTTAACAAATCTAGTCTCGTGTCTGTAGAAATTTTATTTTGCATGCATCTTAGGAAATTAAATGGTTATTCATATTAATAAATATTTAAAATTTTCTTTACTTACTAATTTTTATTTAATGTTTTTGTTTGCATATACATAATCAGTTTCTATTATAATGTTATTAAATTACTTAACTAAACTGATTATAATTAAACTTGGTTAGTTATGAAATAGCTTACAATAATTCAATTAGCTAGAAATAATATTTTTAATTTCTTATAATACATGCATAAAAATTTTATGAACACAAATAATTTATCATCGAAAGTTAAGATAATTTATTTATACTGCAGTTATAATTTTTATTAGTTTTAAATAAAATTGTTCTAAAAACAGAAACTCTAAATTTTCTTAAAATTTAAAATCATCATAATTTATGTAAAAGAAATAATAATTTAATTTGAAACTCATCTGAAGTTAATATACATATATTTCCCTGTTATTAAGTGAAAACTATCAATTAATTATTTTTGTTATTTATAATGCGAATATTTTTAAACCGAAATCATATTTATATTGGGGAATTACTTAACTTCTGCGCTGTACCTACCAGAGTTCTATATGGTTATCAGTTATCATTTTTTTTTTCAGTTATTGACTGTGAAATATAAGTTTTTATTATCTTTCATTGTTAAAATATATTTTTAAGTACTTCCAAGGATATAAAAACAGAAGTAAGATGGAAATAGTCATGCTGTCAACTCATAAATATAAACTCAATATTGGAAATATTTTTGCTGTAAACATATACAATTTTAACAGTGTTCAAGATGGTATACAAATGGATTTTGTTATTCATAATTCACGTAATCAAAAAGAAACAAATATTCTTTTACTTATATATATATAACTAAGGATGTATGAAAACAAATTAGGGCAAAATAATTTCTATGCCCATTTGGTTTTCCAGGTACATTGACTTGACAGAACCAGAAGAAACATTGAAAATAATTCCTACTAAAGAAACTCCTCTATCAAACAATTATTCCTGTTCATTTTGTTTTGAAAAGTTTTTAAAGATTAGAGATAAAGTGAAGCATGACCGTGATGTTCATGGTGTTCAGTCTAATATACTGCCATTAAAATATGTAAGTGAAGGGTATACAGATAATTTTAAAATTTCAAATGTTGAAGAAAACTGTGCAGATAAAAATCTTTTAAGCATAGTTAATGTAAGCAATACAAAATCAACACAAGACTTGAAAGTAAATGATTATAATGATGTATTATGCATTGTATGTAATGTTTCTTTTAAATCTTCATTTGAAAAGTTAGAGCATGACCAAAAATTGCATAATGTGCAGATGACTACACGAAGAAGTAAACGTGTTGGTGTAACTAAAAGTTATGGTGAATTATTTGATGATGAATCTGATTTTGATGAAGAAACAAAAAATAATTCTTTAAATTCAGAACAGTTCAATAGTAATTGTGTTGAATCTAATTCAACTGACCAAAAAAGTGATAATGAAATGGATTTAAAAAAAGAGAAAGACTTGGAAGATATAAAAGATGAACTTGACGAATCTGATGAAAAGTCTGATATTGAAGATTTCAAATGTTATTACTGTAATGAACAATTCCCTTCTAAACATTTAGCTTCAAAACACGTTCGTTCACATATGCTAAATGATAAAAAGACAATTCCAAAAAGTGACATTTATGATAAGTATAAAGTTATGATAGATAATAAATTATATTATAAATGCGATCAGTGTAACTATAATGTTGAAGGTAGACGATACAAGTTTGTGTATCATATGAGGGTGCACACCGGTGAAAAACCATATGCTTGTGAAATTTGTAGTAAACAGTTTCGTACTGCAGCATTTTTAAGACGACACATTGTGTGTTTTCATGAAAAAGTTCGTAGTTATCAGTGTGACATTTGTGGACGTTCATTTTCTGAAAAACGTAATGTTGATGATCATAGACGTACACATACTGGTGAACGACCATTTGTTTGTGAAACATGTGGTAAAAGTTTTGCCCAAAGATCATCAATGAAAATTCATTGGAAACAAATGCATGAAAGCATAAAAGCACATAAATGTGAATATTGTGGCAAAAGTTTTATCAGAAGATGTCATTTAGTTGCACATTTAACCCATCATACTGGAGTGCGTAATTATATATGTGCAGTATGTGGTAAAGCATTTTTGCGCAGTGGTACACTTAAAGGTCATACAGCGGTACACAGTTCAGAAAGACCTTTTCGATGCACTATATGTGGAGACACATTTAAATTGAAAAAACATTTAAAACAGCATGGACGAGTTCACGAAACTCAACATTCATTTGAAGATATACCTCAATTAGAATTTAGTACAACAACTGTTGATAATCCAAGAGGTTCACAGTAAATAATGAATGTTATTGATTTTTTATAAGTATTATAATTTATTATATTATTAAGTTATAATAGAAGTATGAATAATACTAAATTAAAAATTAATATTTTTATTGGGGTTCATAAGTTTATTTAATAAAAGAACTCTTCAAATTAGTATTATTTTTTACAATTTTATAAAAAATTAAATATTTATCGCTTGATACTTCTAAATTGCAAAAATACACATTATACTTTAGCAAACTGAAATTTGAAACAAAAAATTAATTGTTTAACTTAAATATTTATTTTGTTTATTAACATTAGAAAAAAATTAATTATACTGTAACTAATATTTCTTCTTTTTAAAATTCTAAAGTTAAGTAAAACTTATTATTTATCTATTAATATTTGTATATACAGGAATTTTAGTTATTATTAGTATGTTTCTAGTAGTGGTGGCTAAATGTATCTAATATGGATGCTGTAATAATAATTAAATAATACAATGTATAGATCTGTATGATGTGTAAATGTATTTTACTTCTTATGTTAGGTATATAAGTAGGGCGTAGAAGTTTTAGGAGTTGCATATTTTTATGTACAGTAGGGTCTCGTTAATCTAAACGAGATTGGGGAATGGGATCATTTGGATAAACTATTTAATAACAATTAAGACATATATAAAAGTAAAATATGATTTTTTTAATTTCATTTTCAATTATGAAACGTCTTATTGATTTTTGTTATTACTATCGCATAGTATTTTAACAATGATGCGAAGTATATTTAGTCTTTATCACATTAATACTATAATGTTATCTTTTGCTTAAATCACGTTTATATTGTCTATGTTATTGTTTATTATTTTATAATCTAGACTATAATAGTGTACTTTTCCCTTGTTAGTCAATAGTCTCATATGCAAATTTACATGTTGTAAATTTGTCTATGCTCAAAAAATTATGTGTTGGACAAATAATTTTATATTCAATTTTTTTTCATCCATATTTTATTATTTTTTCATGCATGTTATGCCGTTGTAGCTTCCTTAACTTCCAAGCCCTTCTTATAAATTTGTCATATTTGATTACCTTTTAATTAGGTTCCGTGAAAAATATAACACAACATATAAAAAATGTTCATATCTTAAATTTTTCAAGCAAATTCTGTCACAATTATGATTGATCCATTTGGTCACCACTGCTCTTCAAAAGTAAAATACTTACTTGTCATAATAATCACCTATTAATGCTTACATAACTTTTATAATTAAGTATAATTTAGTATTTACTTTTTTTTCAATAAAGTAAATGTTTATGTTTGTTCAGTATATGTTGTTTTTAAAAAAGGTTAATTAAAAAATGTTGATTATTATTATTTATTACTATTAGATTTAATGCAACTAATTGCACAATTTTTTTCTCTATTATATTATATAATATTACAGGGTATTGTGTGCCATACAACAGTCTGGTAACTATACTATTTTTGTTTTATTTTGTATTTTATTTTTTAAAATCTTAATAAATAATAATAATTAATTAAATAACTTATGATTTAAGTTTCTTTGTACAATGAAGAACATAAGTTTTTTTGTTATTATTATTATATTTTTTCTGTATGTTACTATTTATAGTCACAGGAGTGTTTCAATAATTTCATGTCTACCTCTACAATACTAATTGTATCTATACTCTGTCACAAAAATTACCTTAGGTTACACCCCAGCAGCAATAAATGTGGATAATGTGCTCCAAATGTTATACTCCCTAGAATAGCACTTAATAATTCTAACAACTGCCTAGCTTTTAATTTGTTTAACATATTAAAATAATTTTTTATCTTCAGTCAATCATCTAAACTATAACTTAAAACTAAAAATAACAAATATTAATTTATCTTGGGTTATGGTTTGTTCCAACTCGACAAAAATTAGTCGTCATTGCCTTAATATTATTCTGATATAAGAGAGATTATAGTTGTTATTTTTAAGGTGTAATTTTTTTAATTTTCTTAATAGTTTTTAACTTTCTAAATTTAAATACCATCTATTAAGCAAATATTTATTTCTACACGGGGGGGATTTTTTTTTTTGTTTGTTTTAAACTGATATTATTTGATATTTATTTTATAAGAAATTATAGCTGTTGATCAAAATTTGATATTTAAACACAAAGCTACTTACTTATTGGATTTATTACAGCTTAAATCTTTGAAATCTTTAATACATATTATTTAGTTATTTTTGTAGAAAATTAATATGTTAAATAACCTTAAAAATAAAAAAAAAGTTAACAAATTTATTTTTTAAATTCAACAATTTTATGCATTTAAATCTAATAATGTAACATTACTCCACATGGACAATTTAAACAAAATGAATGTAACTATGTTTTTTGTATCCTGTCTGGCTTCATTTTATTTTTCTTAAGTTAATATCCTACTGTAGTTTCATACTTATTTAATGTTATATTTAATATATTTTTATAAATTTTACCCAATTACTACTTTATGTATTAAATGTTTAAATTTATGTATAAATGTATACATTTTAAATGTTAATTATATTTTTCTACTTACTAAACTTGAAATATTATATTTTTATATTTATCCAAAACAATATATTACTACTATTCTTGTGAATTATATTTTAATAAAGTTTTATTTAACGATAGTTGTAGAATATTTTTTATATTATCTTTTTTTTGTAAATATTAACTGATTTATTATTAATATTTCATTTGTGTAATGTGGTATTAAATAGTTATATAGTATAATAAGTACGTTTTAGTATTAAAATTAATAAATTGATTTGTTTATTACTTTACCTTTATACCTAATATGGTACAATATTATATATTCTATTATTTACTATGGTCTGCTTATTTTTCATTTTTAATCTAACATTATTATTTAGGACATCATCATTATTGCTTTTTAGGTTATATGGTTTTAAATATTAAGTATTTCCATTCTGTATTCCTTTGCTCAAAAATTAATAAATTAATATGTTTTGTCTGAAAAACAAAACAATATATTAAATTAACTGTAAGAACAAAAAAAAATTTTGGTAAAATATACAATCAAAAATTGGAAATCTATCATTCTCTTGATCATATCAAATATATTTAAATATATTTTATTCAAAACAGAGAAGTTTATAACTTCTAAAAATGATAAAATTATTTTGTCAAGGCTATCTGTTTTCAATGATTGTATGTTTATTGAGTTATAAATAAATCAAATAATTTATTTTAGATATATATTTTTATTTAAATAATATTAAATAAAATAATAATATTTCTGTATTATAATACCAATTGTTTTACATGAACAAATATTTATTCATGTAATACATATAATTCTTTGCGTATTAAATTTGTATTTAAATATTAACTAATGTTATGGGCTACGGGATATGCTAATAATATAAATGTATATAATTTTGATTTTTGTCTATAAAGATATAATGATATTTCATAACGTATTATATTTATCCTATAACATTAAAACTGCAATAAGTATTATATAAAAAAAAATAAAATAAAAACCAGCTATTACTAGTATTCTTGTTTAATTACTAAAATATACTTTTGGAATGTTAAAAACTACTTACATTTTTAATTAAAAAATGATAATTTAAGTAGTTATCATTTTAGGTAGTTACCACATACCAACAAAATATTAAATAACTAAAAACTTTAATGATTTAAATGTATTATAATAATTATGGTATTAAACATTCTAAGTTTGTATATAAAACTTATGATTGGTGTATTAAGTATAAAATTAAAATATGAAATATAAGTAATAAACAATAATAAAAGTATATAATTACATAATTTTTAAAAGCGTATTCAGTGATAAAGACATTTTATTACTCAAGTAGAAAAATTAATTAAACAATCTCAACCGAATCTAACATTTTTAATTTAATACAGGATGATTATTTGATCAAAAATCACACGTTATTTCAAAATCTATTAACGTTTTAAAAATAAATATTTTACATACTTATTTCTAATCGAAATAAGACAACATTTTTTATCATTATGTCTTAAATTTTTACTTTTTTAAAAGACAACATACATTTTTAATTTTAATTTCCGAAGCACTATATTTTTTGGAATATTTTGATACATACAAATCGAAATTTGAACAAGTAATTTATGAATAATAGGTATTTAACGTTTAGGTGATCAGTGTACAGCAGGGGGTTAGGACTGTTAGGAGGTATAGGGGTACCCCATTAAATATTATTTTACTACTCTGCTTATTAAAATTTTAAATACTTTTAACTCGTAAACTACTCATTCAATTTTCAATTTGTATGTATCGAAATATTTCATAAAATATGCTGTTTCAAAATCTAAAAAAAAAAATGTAGGTTTGTCGTGTAAGAAAATTTTGTTCGAAAATGTTAATACATTTTGAAATAATAAGTGTTGTTGGGTAAAATAATCTAGTATAGTCTTAAAATTTCGTATGCCATTATTTTTCTTGCGATTAAGGTTACTTTGACTATATGTTATTAAAATGGTCGTATTGTTTGTTTTACAGCGAAATCTCTGGAATAATATTCGACAGAGAAGTAGTTGATAATGATTCCGTGGACGACAACATGTACTTGAATGCAGCAGGCATCGACGACGACATAAATGGGTTGATGAATTGCCATCGCCTGGAAGACATGTCAGTAGTAAATGATTGCAGCCTCGTGGTGCCAAAGCAAGAGTACCTGAATCACGTCATGGGAGAAGACAGTAGCCACGTAATTGACCACCAGTTGCCCAATGATACTGAACTGAACGTTTCCTCAATTTGCGAAGGAGACAATGTAACTAATCAGGAAAATAACGATGGCTTTAAACCGCATGTAAATGCGCTCAATGTCGATGGCTCTGAAAGTGGAGAAATCGATGATTTGCAAAAGGATTGCGATGGAAGCAACGGAAACGACGATGAAGTAGACGATGAGAACGATAACGAAGACGAAGAAGAAGATGAGGACGATGATTCCCACCAGCTAAGCAGCATGCACGTGCGGCAATTATACGTGAGCAGTTCGTTGGACGGAAATACTGGAGATGAAGACGAACAGCAGGAGACTATGTGCCAGATATGCGCAACTGTATTTAAGACCCGGTATAACCTGTTACGGCACTTCCAGAAGCGACACCCAGAATACAAGATGTACGAATGCGACCTGTGTCGTATCAGTTTTCCGTCCATTGACGAGTTCAAGGATCATTTAGAAGAAAAACACTCCAAGATGCACACCACCCATACGGTGGATTCAAAACAAGTGCGTTTCGCGTGTGACGTATGCGGCAACATGTACAAGAATAAAGCATCCGCTATGAACCACCTGCTGACGCACACCGCTAAAAAAACTGTGCACTGCGCCCACTGCGACTTCACGTGTTACACCAAACAACAGCTAGGCGTTCACCAGACCAAGCACGACAAGCGGTTCGTGTGCGACATATGCCATAAGCGGTTTGCACAAAAGTCACAACTGGACGTGCACGTTAACGCTGTTCACTACAACCAAAGACCGTTCTCGTGCGTGCTTTGCAACAAGTCATTCAAGACCAAGGGGTCACACGACGCCCACATGATCGTTCATACGGATACCCGAAATTACCAGTGCCCGCACTGTGATAAAAAGTGCCGGAAACGGTACGATCTGACGTTACACATTCGGACTCATACGGGTGAAAAACCATTTAAATGCAGTGTGTGCGGCCGAGGATTCGTGCAGATGTGCGATACGCGTAAGCACGAGATGCTCCATTTTAAGCCGGGCAAACGGAAAAACTTGTTCTTCTCGTCGCCGGAGACTGGAATGGCCGATGACGAATGACATACGGCGATGGTGGCAGAAAGCATGGCAGGCGACGACGGCGTCGATGATGATGACGACGACGACGACGACGACGACGATGATGATGACGATACCACCAACAATAACACTAACTCCATCACTACCGTCATCACTAACCTGACGACGCTGAACTGATAAACCCCTCCGTATTTTGATTTTTAATTAAATCATAATTTTAACATAAATATAAATATTTGAGTGTATATAAATATTTTTTTGTATTTTACTGTATTTTTTTATGTTGTACGTTTTTAAATAACATTTTTAAAAAATGTATTATTTATAATTAGTCAAAGTTCCTTTTCTACAATACTTATATAGGAACAAACAATTACTAAATACACGCAAGTTAGAGAAAATTAACCTAAGGTTATTTCTTGTAAACTTTATTTAAATAAGTCGTTAGTTTCAAAATATTTTCAGTTCGATTATTTTTATTATTACCAAGTTTGAAACTACATAAATGTGTAAATATATGTAATTAAGTATTTTAATTAAGTTTATTTATGAGTAAAGAATTTATAAGTGTTAATGTTGATAATGTAAAACACTTTGTATGTATTAAAAGTCTTTACTGATTTGAACTTTGTTAGTAATTTATAAAAATAAATACCTTAAGTATGATATGTTATTATTGTCCATCTTTGTACAGTATAATAAAATTTTTTGTTTTATAAGATCTTAGTTGGGTTTTTAGTCAATACTTAGAATTTATTGACCTATTGTTAAATAACATATTATATAGTTGAGATATATAATTGTAAATTCATCAATACATTGATTTAAAAATTAGATAAACATGTTAAAAATATTTATGCCTGATTAAATGAAAAATGTGTTGGTCGAATGGTTAAGTAAAGTTTAATATATTAATCACTGGTTACTAAATCATGTTTAAGGGAGAAATTAGTTCACTTTTGATTCATTTATGCTTGTTTAATAATTTTTCATATAACCGTGCAATAATTTACTTAATTTTTTTAAATCCAACATGATATAATATTCTCATGTTTAATTTTTCTAATAGGTCAATTCTATACTTATCCTATAATATTTTTATATGATAGAAGGAGGCATAAAATAAATGCACCACATCTTAACATGATATGTATTCATAATAAATATGATTCTACCTAGTAGAATTTATTTTTTTATTTTTTAAACCTGTTACCATAAATTAATTTACTTTGGTATTATACTATTTTATTTTATTGAAGTTAATTACTTACTATAATTTTCTGTACAGTAATTTTGTAATTCAATTTTAACTAGGTACTATTTTTAATTGAATTGTATGTAAAAACATTGTGCGGTTAAAATCATTAAATTTTAAAAATATGAAATAAATACAATACAATACTATGTTAAAATCTTAAATTATGTTGTATTGTTTTAAAAAGAGAAAATTATTTTATTTTTTAGTATGGATTAATTAATTTAAACATTGGCATCTGGTGAAATAAAATATTTGATTACATGATTTAAGTTGTATGATTGGTGTGAAAAATATATGATGATAATTCATTTAATATTTCACTAAATTAGCATACAGTTTATTATTAACCAATTTTTTATGTATGATAACTACAGGGTAAAATGTATGTCTTAAATAACAGCAGCCAGGATGTTAATGGATTTTGTATTTGTATACCTATTGGACTGTTCTAAAAGTGTTCTAATTTAAATGATACTTATTTTTAAAGTTATGAATCATAACTTATGATTTATGAATAGAGACAAAACAGCAAGTTCCAAAACTATAGAATAGTAAAGTCATGATTGAAGAAATTGAAAATTACAACAAATAAATATTTAACTATATTTTTTTATTGGAAAAATTGATTTATTAAGCTGGCAATAATTTAGAGTGGTTTTTGGTCAAGTATAACAAATGAGACTGATAATAGTGATTATTCATTTTTGTCTTATTAAAATTATTCTAATGTTTTGATATTTTGTTAGACCTATTAATAGGTAGGTGTTTTTTTATTGTTAATCACATATCCTATATTCTTATTCAATTCTATACTATATACTCTATATAACTCTATATGACTGAAAAATGGCAATCATATAGTATTTTGTAAAACCTAATTCACCAAATTTGTTTGAGTTATTCATTTAACTTTTTTACTGTTATTTCTTAATGATTATTATGTTTAAAGCCACTGCCAATGTTTAGTTTGTATTACCTACCTTCTTGATAAATATGTAATAATTTTTAGGTAACAATATGACTTGGTACCTATGCTAAAAGTCTATTACACTTATGCTTAATTTAATATTTCATTATTATCATATTCATGTCGACATTGATAAAATTTGTGTTCATGCACTTATTTAAATGCACTTGTAACTTAAACCATAAGGGAAAAAACTGAGTATTTTTTATTTATCAAGAGAACTAAAAAAACAGAAAATAATTGTATTATTTATTCTAGACATTAGGTTGGTTAAATTAATTTAATATATTTTTAAAAGCTTATTTTTATGCTATTTATATTATGTTTAAGAAATAAATAGAAAAATAACATTCACTATAAAATTTTGCTAAATTAACATTAATAAAAAACAATACAAAGAAGCTGCTAAAACAAAAGTATAATATAAGATGAAAAGTAAATTTTCAATGTATAGCATACCTATCTTCTTCTATTTTATAATTAAAATATTAATGAAAATTATTAATTTTAATTTTAAAAAAATGTTACATTTGATAAATTTAACTTAAAAACCAAAACAAAATTAAATTTGAAAGTTCTAATAAAAATCAAAATTCAATTTATTAGAATAATTATTATCGTACATAGATAGTAATAGGCAGATATGCATTTAATTTAATAGTATTTAAAAGTGTTCGTTTTATTTTTAGGATGTTTTTTCTATGTCATAATCCACAGGGAATTAGTTTCCTAATAAAGAAAACCTTTAGGTTTCTATACATAAATTTAGATTTTCAGGGTTGGCTTTAGATACGATCCACGTGTGCGACGATTCAGGGACGCCAAAATTAGGGCGGGCGTATGTGAGAGGTATTAAAATTAAAAAAAAAAGAGGGTAAAGAACGCCGAAATAATTCTTGCACTGGGCGCTAAAAAGCTAAACACTGTTCTTATATCCTTATAGAACCCATCCTTAGTTAATGGTACATAACTACAACTGTTGATTTGATTAACAAGGAGCTTTATATTATATGTGTTGTAAGAAAAACAAAATACGTATAAATTTAAATACATTTAAAATTAGCTATTACCTAACTTACTATATTTTGTCATAATTTCTAGTAGTATCATATTTATTTATTACTATACATAAATACATAATTATAAAACTCGTATTTTAAATCGTACTTTATAAAATTATAATTTATTCTTATTTATAAAATAAGATAAATATTAACTAAAACTTTTATTTGGTTCTACTAGATCATAAGATGGTTTAGTGACAACTCCACTGTGAGAAAGTTCAAATAGTTAAATCAAAAAAATCTTATTCGTGCATCTGTGTTATATTTTATATGAAATAATGCAATTTTTAAACTAATGCCATTGAAATATTTAATTACTATTGGCTATTGCAAAACATTTAAGTTAAAAAAAATAAAATGATATAATGCATATGAAGAAACGGTGAAGTAACTACCTATACATTATTTAAATTAATATTATGATGAAATGTTTTAAAATAATTTGTGTTACATTAATAAATGTCCATTAGGTACTTGTAAATTGTAATGGTATCGCAGTAACACTACTTGCCCCAACACAGTAAAAATAAATGCTTTTCATTTTTACAAATTTTACTTGAAATAGGTACTTAAAAATATGTATTGAATTCATTTTAATACAAAATTTTCCATAACATAATATTTCAAGTATTTTTTATTTGCAGTACTACTTCCCCCTACTTCCACTCTAGGTGAATACAGGACATTAAACCTATGTATAGATCTTAGTAAATATTTTTAGAGTTGTTTTTTTCTTAATTATTTTTCTTCTTGCATTTTTATTTTCTGTTGTAGATAAAATTATCCAAAAGTATGTGTAAGTTTTAAGTCGAGATATTAACAGTATGAACTCAAATAATGTTAATAAATTGAATATTTTATGAATTAGTTTAGGTATAAAACTTAACATTATTCATTAGGTATCACTTATTATTGAGTTTAGCATTAAATGTATTCAAATTTATCATTAACTACTGCAGATAATCTACAAATTAAGTAGATTTATCAAATAATGTAATTGTAATCATTTATTATGCATAATTTGATTAATATTTATGTAATTAGAAAGATTTAAGTCAACTTAACGACTTGGAAAACCTAGAAATTTTTTAAAAACATTATTGATTTGAAAGGTGACTCTGACCTTAGTTCTGTTAATCTTAAAAACTCTCAGTGTACAATGCTTACATTAATACCACTAGATAGCGACGCAAGTAATATAATAACTACCCTAAGTTAGGTTACGATAATATTTAATATTAACCTTATTTTTAATGCGTTCATTGAATTTGATTTTTTTCCAAGATTTTTTCTAAGGGAAATGATGCCAACACTGTATGATGTCTATAAGATAATAACTGATATGAGTGGTGTCATTTTTTCATTAAATTAATTAATAACATAATTTTTTGGTGAATTCTCAGTCCGAATACGATACTTATATCTTCTAAATTCAGTCAATTTTTAATTATTTTGTAACCGTTGTATATATACGTGAATAATATGCCCAGAGGTATGCATGTGATCTTTACAGCACTTAATTTAATAACTTAATATTCTTATGTGCTTGTCGATATTGATAGAATTTGAATTTTGGTATTATTTCTACTTAGAAAATTCGTCAAATCACAGTAGGAGAAATGACGAGTTTCTTAATCCTGAAGAAATAGAAAAAGAGGGAGTGCGTGAGAAAGAGGACCGAATTCGTAATAATGATAAAAAACCAGACGACAAGAACATTTTATCAAAAGAGAACAAGAGTATAAGCAATGAAGATATTAAAAATGGAAGTGAATCCAATGCAGTTTCTGATGACGATGTAATGTTTATGTTATATAATATTGTTGTAATAAATATTTATAATAATCGATTTATTATAATTTAAATTTTTTATTTATCACACTAAAAGAGTGATCCTAGTTTGATAAAAATCAAGAATTCAAGTAGGAAAAAATTGAAGTTGGAAAGATTGGCTTCACTTAATGCATTTATTGCAGATACCTCTGAACCTGATTTGTTATATAAACTTGAAAGGTTGGTTAAATTTGTTAATTAAAAAAAAAAAAATCATTTTTTAAATTATGTTCATATGTTTAGAGAACAAATAGAAAAAGAACAACAGGAGAATCATCAAAATGTGCAAGTCCAGGATAATACAGAAGAAGCACAAATAGATGCGGCTACTTTTAATAAGCTGATTATAAAGCCATTTGAATAAGAACATAATAAATGAAAAAGGGGTAAGATTTTAGTTTATAGATTACAGCATAATTTTGTTTCATTATTTTGTTGAAAAACATTAACAATGTAATCTATTAAATAAAATTATTAATATTCTCCAATAACTGTTTAGATGAAAAATATAATAGTCTTAATTCTTTTGTTTATAGAACAAAAAATGGTTAAGTTGCTGTTTAAATTAATAATGTTGATTCATAAATACTGGTTTTTATTGGTTGCTAAAATAAATTGATCAATTTAAATAATTATAATACAATATATTATATAGTCTGAACTTCCCTAATTAATTTATTATTATTTTCTTAATTTAATAAAAAAAATTATTATTTAGACTATTTATGTAACCTGTGATGGCATAATATCATAATATTTATGGTATTTTATTGTTTGTTGAGTTATTATTTTGTTCTTCATTTTAATAATTTTGATCTGACTAATTGTCGAATCATTCTAAATTGTTTTTGATTATTACTATTATTATTAATTTTTTTTTTAATATTTTTTAATGCAATACATTGTATTATATCTTTTAATTGTTCCTGAGTATAATTATTAGTTGTTTATATTCCAAATTATTGATGTAAAATTGCTTGGTTATCTAATTATTCTTTATGCATGATCATTTTTTCTAATTTACTGATGAAAAATGTTTTAAATTCTTTTTGTGTTAACCATAATTTTAAAATATTTAAATATTTATCTTTTAGTGTTTATTTATTATTAAATTTAAAATTGTGTAATTATACTATTATTAAATAAAACTTGTATCTGTTCTATGACAAATCAACAAGAAATTTTACATTTTATTCTCTTTTTGCTTTTAACAAGTTGAAACTAAGAAACTTATTCAATATCTTCTGTATTTAAATTTAAAATTAGATAGTTTATTTCCTTTATTTTTCAAATGCTATATTCCATTTTTTAACTACCATTGATATATACTATAGTTAGTGTTATAAGTACAGTTAATTGTGTGTAAAATTATTACTGTATTGATTAGCAGTTAATTGTGTTATATATAATATAAATAATATGCACATAATTTAAAAATTATGTATTTATATATATATATATATATTGTAACTGTTAAAAAACAATATAGCTAACTACAATAATGGTAGGTGACATTTTATTAATTAATAAATAATTATTCTACTAACTTTAATGTAAGATGAATTTCTATAGATGGTTTATTAAAAAGTAAAAATGTTTATTCAACGTTTGCTGTACTACAAACTTAATAGTTTATTTAACCATAATATACAATAGTGGATGTCTTGTTTAGAATTTAAATTGGTTTTATTTAATTTTTAATATATGTTTGATTAAAACTAGACATTTTTATTTTAAAATTTGTATCTTAATGAATATTTTATATTTATCGCACTTATGTATATCTATATCAAGAATTAATCAAATGATCAAAGAAATAGGAATTTATGTTAAAATTACAAAAATTAAAATATACTCACATATTTTATTGATGATGTCATGGAAAATATTTTAACTATTTGATTGTAAATAGCCAATTGTTGATTTATTTGAATTTAAAAGAGGTAAGCTAATACAAATTATAACTTATAGTCAAGTGGAATTTTTATTTTTTATCATGAAAGTTATTTACATTTGATTTGATATTTTATTCTATATTATAGTTAATATAAATGTTTAACATTAAAACTAAAACAATTAGTAAATAAAATAAAACGGTAACTATGATATTATTGTTTTTCATATTCTCATAACACACCACATACACCGCTTGGTACTTAGCACTTACATTATTTAAATTACATAGATATGTAAACATAATAATATATACTCGAATCTTTAGACTATTTTATCTTATTTTATTTTTAACGTCAAACTGCAAAATAATGTAAAGAATAAACAAATGAATATAGTGAAATTATGTAATAATTTGGGATACATAAATAATTCACTAACTTAAGAGTATTTTTAATAAATAAATAAAAATATAGGTAGGTACATATTGAAATGTGACCCGAGAAGTTAGTGTAACAGCATGTAGTGTAAAGTATAATTACGCCCACATGTTTAATGTGAAGGTGTGTAGAAGTCAGATTAGTTTTTTAAATATTAGGAGATCATAGCAATGAAGAGATTAGAAACGTCAAGTGAACCGTTTAAAATTGCTGAGTTCTATTACACGACAGTTAGTTTTGTTTTAGTATAGTCCGCATGATTCAGTACGTTCGTGATGAATATTCATTTTGGAAGAGGTGTACCTCAGTAATTTATTTCGAACACTCTCAAGATGTACTTTATCCTTATAGCTAAATATGGATATTAAACTACTGAACCATATTTTAACAAAGGGCATACAAGAAAAAATATAAAGAGATAAGGATCTTTGTTGACTTAAATATCTTTATGTTGCGTATACTAAATCCAAGGATCTTGAATGCTCAATTTACTGTTAAGTTAACATGAATTCTAAATCATACATACATAATTAGTGCCGACTTAAACGTGAAATATGGAGCATGGGGTTGTCACTCAGACATTAGAAGATAAACACTATTCAATTTAATAACAAACAAGAAATTTTAAGTTATTTCTTCAGCCACCTATAGACCAGCTTACGCAAATCTTCACGTGTTTATCTTGATTTTTTCCATCTATCTTCTCTAATTACGTCAACATAAATATTTCTAATTTAAATGTATTAGCCTCCTACCATGTATAATTCACCTTCAAAATTCAAGCAAATGTTAACATTCACTCAGTTATAAAAAAAACGCACAGACTGGAATAAATTTCACGAAATCATCCTCTTTAAACTAAAAGTTAAAAAACTCCATCGATAAAGACATTGCTATAAATGCTCACGTAAATAAAATTCAAAATACTCTCGAATCATTTTCTTTCTGCAACTCAAGGAAATTCCAGCAATTTTATCACAATCGAAATAAGAGAGCTCGAAACACTTTGCAACGAATTCACTATTCGATCAATAAATAACGAAACAACTAGGTATTTCTCCAATAAATTCAAATTAATTTTTAAGAAGCATATAAACCAATTATACAACTTTCATTTTCAATTTCTATTACCCTCATACCAGTCTTTTTAGAGAAAAATTAAATGTTTTTTTAAAGCGCAAATCTACCATTTCTTTCTTTGCTACAAAAACAACAATTTTGCTACCACTGCCCAAGAAACGTCTGATTTGCAGGCTAACCATTTTGCTAATACATTTCATTACCCTAGGCCATGGCATTATCAGCTTTGCCCATCACTCCTAATTAAGTTTTAATAATTGTTAAAAAACTAAAAAATTATAAGTTATCTGGTCACGATTTCATAAATAACAAAATAGTTAAAATCTTATTACCAACAATTATCTATCATTTTTCTCACCTATATTTTTAATGCTATATTTCATCCAACCTTTTAGACGATGTCCATCAAGGAAGTGAAATTGCTCTCTACACACTTTTCACAGTTGACCTTTCTAAAACTAAAAACTCCTTAGAGGTTCCCTTACTTTTTATAGCACGACTTCACTTTGAAAATAATTTAAATTTTGGAGACCCACAATAATATCAAATCAATGACCTTTTTTTTAGTTATTTGAGAAAAAGTAACATATACCTGAAAAAAATGTATTATTTAAAAATATAACGTGACCCATTAAAAATATGATCACGACTACTTTTCGACGTGACCCATAGTTTAAGAACCTTTGTCCTAATCAATATCTATACTAAGGAGACTACAGTTCTTTCATTCAGTCAAGATCTCTTCGATGCAATAAGTAATATACTCCAAAATCTGAACACCTTATCCCGCTAGTTTGAATCTCGGAAAGTCAAAATCAACAATTTCAGATTATCTTACGTCACTTTTTCCTTCCACCTCGGTGACTGTTCTCACATACAATTCGAGAACGCAATTATTTCACGTATAAATAAAGTCAAATATCTCGATCTACTGTTTGACCTAGATCCTCATTTTAAAAATAAAGGAGAACCAACAACTAAATAACCACCAACACATCCTTATACCTCTTTTGAAATGTGATATGTAAATCTCTAATTATTTACTATACAAATCTCTGTTGCAAATTATCTGGTCATACAAAATACCCTCGAAGATACTGCTAAATTATCTAACACCAGTACCATTTAAGCATCCTTTGCTATCTACCTCTACATAACAGCTATGAATCCTTGCTACATCACAAATATCACATTGTATAATAATCTTAAAATATCCACCATAAGGCAAAAAGCTATCATATATTAAATAAGTCTACACTTTTGTATGATAACACTATTTGAGCACCCAGATCGTTTAGCTTTATTCCAATACTCTTCCTGACAATCCTACCAGACACTTGAAGCGTAAATGGTTCAGATATTATCAATGCTATACTTAATGTGTATATTATTATTTCTTCTTAGAATTACTACTCATGTTTAGAAGTTTCTAATGTGAAACTTCAACTCAATGTTTTCTTTTTTACCTACTCACATCGTATTGCCACTAATTTTCTTATTTTACCTTCTACATAGATTATAATTAAAATAAAAAAAAAACCATTTATTTTTTGAAAAAAGAAGATGGAGGTAGGTACCTATGCATTTTTTGTCAGTGAATTCAGTACGATTTATCATCTCATAAATTAGTAAATAATAATACTCATAAATTAAAAATTTTATTTAAATACATTTCTATTTGACCCAAAAAAAATCAATTTTTATTTCTTAACTATTCGACACTTAGCTACTATTAGTTAAGAGAACCTCTAGCACCAATTAGGCACTTTACTTGTAATGTCTTTCACGAAATTTTTGTATAATAATTTAATAAGTATGTCACATTTCTATGATAACTAATCAACATTTTTATTAGTATAGACTTTTAACAACATAGATGTTAACATTTAAAAATCATACTGATATTTTATCAATCATAAAAATTACAAAAGCATTTTTCTAATAGATACATAAATTATATTTTTAACAATTAATAGGTGAAAAAGTCAAGTTC